AGTGCCCTTTAACTGACAGGTTATTTGTTAGGTTATAAACATCCCGCAGGATTACATTCTGACGTGTACTTCGTGTTATTTAAATTGGCATTTTCATCGATCACATTTGGCTGATTACCGTCTGCAGCAGATACCTATGTAACAATCCCGGGAACTGTGGGAGATGATGCTAAAACTGCCAATGTCACTTTCGGCTGGTGAAATATAACTGCGCACAATCCAAAGTGTTATTTTAATAACAGATTTGAAATTGGCATTTTTAACAAATTGGTACATACGCAGTTGATGTCTCATCAGTTGTATGTTGGGAAACACAAGGAAAATCTTGTCTTGAATGAAGTCTGACTCGGAGAAGGTTAGCTGTCACAAGAGATTTACAACTTGTAGACTTTCCAATGCGAATGGATGTTGTTCTTATGTGTCATACATTGTGTTGCCTTTGCATGTGTTTACGCCTGATGTCCACACTGTTTGGTAGTTATTCATAATAAACACGATCATGATACACTCGGAACAAGACAATGAACGACTCTGTGATTTATGCATTGATTTCATATGTTTGTGGAAATGTTCTATTTGAACTATAATTGTTTCTATGTTGTAATATATTATTCTCTTTATAGGCGGTTTAAACACTGAAACATAACATCGTCTCTAAATCATATGCGAACTGAAATCAACTAAATACAATATTGAATCTGAAAGCAATTGTCAACGCTAAGCTGAAAACCTATTGATGAAAACACATTAAAGTTAACTGCTCCTTGATGTAACCTGTTGACTTCCAAACGTTTACCGTGAAATCTATATGAAAAATAAACCAATAAATATAAGTGAAATGTTATACAATTAGCAACTGTATTATAACATACAATCAATACTAGCAAATCAATACAAATTACTACTGGTCAAGAATCTGTACTTTACTGAGAAAATGCAGTATCCAAAATATATCATATGTTACATTTGAACACTTTCTAAATGGCATTGTGTAACCATAGCTTTCGGCCGTGGGAGCCGTGCCAATTAACATTTATCAGAGGGGTACACAAAGTCCGCAGTCTAGACTACCAGTTGTACGACATCCATTCTTGTGAAAGTCGCGGTGACTGAGTGGGTTAGGTGGCTGACTTTGTGTGCTGGCGATTAGGTGCCTGACTGAGGGTGTGGGTTCGAATCCTGGATGGGATTCAACCCAACAAAAATACAAGAATATGTACTTTACTAAGAACGTTTAATCCCAAATATAGCATATGTTACTACTAGTCAAGTTTAATGGCAGTATATACAATCAGTGACAGTAAGAGGCAGTATATACAATCAATGACAGTCAATTACAATAGCAGTATTAAACAAAATATCAGTGGCAATAGCACATACCAGTCAGTGATAACTTTTCCACCTATCAGCAACTGTAGTCAAACTTCCAAAATAGACCTAAACTTGATATCCCAGCTAAAAGTATGATTTTCACTCATTCATTCATATTCACTAATTCATATAGATATGATAATGGACCCATGCATACAAGTCAGTGATAGTATTTCCACCCAGGAGCAACTGTAGTCAAACTTCCAAAATGCACCTAGACTGGATATCCCAGGTAAAAGTATGACTTTCACTTATTCATTCCTCTTGACGTAATATGAGATGATGGACACATGCTCTTGCCCACCTGTATAGTCTAAATACCTTCTAGAGAGTTCCATAGCATTCTGGGCTAGTCAAAACCTAGAATACGGATTAAATTCTACTCCAAATTCATCAACATATAGTAACTTCCACAACACTGCGTCAGGTAGTAATAACAATCTGACAACCAATTATTGTTGGAAACTCAGTGGAATTAACTTCGTTAATCCTGATAGATATATGGTCGAAAAAACAAGCATACATAATGCCACTGGAAAGGTCAGCAGATGAAGATATTGTTTTGGTGTATGGAGCAGCTTCCTTCATCATCCTCGGATGTACTTTGAGGTAAATGTTTGCTCATTCGTGTTTTTCTGTTTGCAGTTGATTTTAAAAAATAAATTGATATTAATCATTGTGTTTATGTCAATTCGAACCAGAATAATCGTTGGCATTTACTTTTCTGGGATATTTAATTACAGTCAGGATAATATGCCTCACAGGAGGCTCTGAACATGTGCGGAAATTATTTGTTTTAAATTTTGTTTTTCTGCAACCCGATGACGAACTGTACTAATTTACATCAACATTATAACTCTGTTATGGTCAGCTAATGTCCGTGTATAGTACTAGTGTCTGTAGAAAACTACTAATCTACTGTAATTGTGATATTTGACGATAGTTGACGCAGTTAGAAGGCCTACCATCTAGATCTTTCCTAGCTCAGATTTACTGGGAATATAATATTATCGCTGAGGGCATATATCAATGATGACATGACTTCTTTTCAAACACTATCAAGATTTTATGAAAATCGAAGTGACTGAGTTTTGGGTACCTATGGCAGGAGATCACTGCATTCTGATGGGTGTAATGATGTTGGTCCTGTACAGAATCAAACAGTTTTGTTCTCCTTGTTTTGCAGCACGGTGATCTCCCTTGTATTACACCGATTGGAGTTGTATTTTTTGTGGTGATGGGGTGAGTTGGGGTAGGGTCAGGGTTGGGTCAGGGTAGGGTCAGGGTAGGGTCAGGGTTGGGTCAGGGTAGGGTCAGGGTAGGGTTATTACGGAAGGATGATTCAGGTTAGTATATTTTCTCTAACCGGGGGTAACAGTTTTCGCATACAGCTGATTGGCTGTTTCTGAAATGATTGTATTCCCCCATGAATAGTAACACCACACACGGACGCTGCTTCGCATGTACAACGTTTAACATTTTCCTGAATACTTTTTGTTTATTTTCAGAGTGCAATATTCCTTTGCATTTGCACAAGAAACGTAAACATGGCTATATTTTCGACAGAAAAAACGCATAAGCCAAAAATCAGCATTGTCAGCATTAATTCAGTTCACTCACTGCACATGTGTGGACACAAGGAGGCGTTCAGATCAGAACCTGGTGATACCACCCCTTGAAGCGTCACTGCTCGACACCGCCTCGGAAGGGATTGCACAAATCCTAGGAGTTTTTGCTTGCGGAATTCTTCGCCATTCCTTCTGCAACGCGTTGGCAAATTCAGCAGTTGTCTGAGGACCATGGTGACGTTTACGGACGCGTTGATCACGTTCGTCATATATATGCTCGATCGGGTTCAGATCAGGCAATTTGGAAGGCCAGGGAAGGACATTGACGTTTGCATAAGCCAGATAGGCACCTGTTACACGAGTTGTGTACGGTCGAGCGTTCTCGTGTTGAAACAGCTCCCTCTGGCGGTTAAAAAGTGGCAGGAGGTCAGGTTGCAGGATTTGGTCGATGTAGCGATTTGCTATAAGATTGCCTTGAACCACTGCTAGCTCTGATCTACCCGTGTAGGACATGGCTCCCCACACCATGACGCTTTCTCCACCAAATCTGTCCACCTCTCGTGGTGTCCACCACCAGTTCGGCGCAAAACGTTCGTGTCGTTGTCTCCCATCCCGTAGTTGCAGGAGGAAACGCGATTCACCGCTGAACCAAACGCGTCTCCAGTTCCCCAGAGTCCATGCTTGTACAGTTTTGCATCAATGCACACGTCGTTATCGGTGTAGTCGTGTCAAGACAAGTCCAAGTTTTGGTCCATATGCTCGAATTCCCACCTTTCAGACGATTTCTAATGGTTTGGTCAGAAAACCTTCGAAGACCAGCCAACTATCCTGAAGTGTCCGTTGCTGTAGTAAATCGGTGACGCAGGTGAAACACCCGGATGAATCGATCCTGAGTAGGAGTGGCCATTCTTGGTCTTCCACCTCTGGAACGATTTTGGTCGAATTGAAGCGGGTATATCGATGCCATAACCGAGATATGGTGCTGTGGTGAAGTGTCTTGCAGTCTGGGACTACCTTGCTTCCAAACGTCCTATGGCTTTATTTCGAACAGTACCATTCAATCTTGGCATTTTGTATCTTCCTTTTCGTCGTAAATGTAATGAATTGATAAATTTGTAATCCACAGAATACAGGTTTTTAGAAAGGTATACGTACACCAACATATAGAAAAGGGTTTTTAGAACATTTGTTAGTAGTCAACAGGGTCACCCTGGCGTGTTTTTCAAGATGGCGGCACATCCGGTCCCCATGGGCGCCGCCATCTTGGATCAAGATGGCGACCCACGGTGACCGGATGTGCCGCCATCAGGGGAGATCACTCGTGTTCCGGTTCCGGTGCTTCCGGTTCCGGTGGGTGCGCACGCATCGCGATGACGTCACGACCGGTTCCGGTGGGTGCGCACATGACGATGACGTCACCTCCCGGCCAAGATGGCGGACGCGTTTCAAGATGGCGACCCATCCGGTGGGATCGCGTGAGATCTCGCGGGATCTCGTGGATTCTCGCGGGATCTCGCGAGTGTAGACGCGTTTCAAGATGGCGGAACGGACGAGCGGCGGACGGGACGGGACGGAGAGGGAAGGGAAGGGAAGGAGAGGAAAGGAGAGGGAAGGAGGGAGAGAGGGGGTGAGGCGGACACGATGGCGTGGCTAGACAAGTGTTAGTGTGTGTGTGGTTAAAACAACATTGGATGTAGCATTCTTTCGAGCCAGGTGGGTGGCCCTGAAAAGGGCCGTTGGTATGAGTGGGTGAGAGATCACCGAGGTATCTATGGTGGTGATGGTGGTGCACTGGAGGCACTGCTACTGGAATCGTCCATGGGTTCGACAAACTCCAAGATGCGTTGAAGTAGAGAGTACATGGTGTCTATACGATCTTGAACGAGGAGGACCTTGTCATGGAGTAGAGCCAGTAAATGATGGCTTTCACGTTTACTCACTTTCTTTGGCGGTTCACTTGGCTGGTGGGCGGATGCCGGACGTTTCTGGCCCTTGTTAGAGCAGTTTATACTCTTATGGTCCTCTTGACCACAGTGACGGCAGGGATGTGGACAGGGGCCGGATTCACTAAACTTCTTAGAATTTTCTTAGATTTATGCTTAAGTTTCCTTAAGAATTCTTAGCTGAGAATTTATCTTAAGTAGCAATCCACCAAGCCACTAAGCATAAATCTTAGCTGAGATATTTTAAAATTCTTAGAATTTTCTTAGTGAGAAACGCATGGGATTATGGGATACAAATTTATGCTAAGAATATTCTTAGATGACGTATTGGAAATCCCCGTATCTATTAATAGCATAGTTGAACTCTCCTCGCGTGGAGATAGAAAAAAACTTACGCAGACGACAACAATCAGAATGGAGAAGAAAAGTGTCAGAAAACCCAACTGGACGGCCGAACAGACCTTGTATTTAACTCGCCTTGTTGAGGAAAACAAGGCTGTGCTACTCGGCAAGTTTGGACCGGGCGTGACATCTGCGCGAAAGAAGGAAATTTGGACACATATTACTATGCAGATCAATGCCACCTTCACAGGTAAGTGACGATCGTAAATTTTGAGTGCACTTTAAAATGTTATCACCTTGTATATGTAACTGTAAAGTATTTGCCTCCTACAATAATTAATGTATTTTTTATTGATTTGTAAAGAATTTAAACGTTGAAGTAAGTGCAAGTTTAAAAGCGAGATGGTTCATATGTGCTATTTTCGATCACCAATCTCAAAACGGAAGGATTTCCGCCCGTAACCCCCGTATTTATTTCCAATCATTATTTGCCTGAGGATATCCGCCTATGTTTTTTATAAACAGGCTATACCTAACCTAAAACCCTAAAATCCAACCCCAAACATTACCCTAAACCCTTGAAATAATCCTAATAAATAGAATACATTTCAAGCGGGGGTTACGGGCGGAACTCTTACCATCAAAACTTTGACGAGTGATATTGGATTTATGCATTCAAACATCATATTGTTTGTGCATATCAACTGATTATAATCATTTGAAGTAACAAATACTGAAATCAAATGTTACACATCTTCTGTTGTAACAGCTTACAAGTATACTACAACCGACATGCTTAGTATGTTCATTGAAATAGTAATGTATTTGGGCCAGTTTTTTTGTATCTAGTCAAATGTCAATGAAAATGATAACAGTGAATTAGGGTTGGTTTGACATGTTGATAATTCTGTAAATTTATCTCAGAAATATAGGTTGATATTCAGGTATTTATCAAGGCAGGTAAGATATTTCTATCGCAGGTTTTCATGTGAAGGAATCACACATGAAACATTCTATTTCACCCAAGTGCGAAGTAAGCACACATGTATCATTTTATTTTACCCAAGTGTGAAAGACTCACACATTTTCATTTTATTTTACCCAGTGTGAAAGACTCACACATTTTCATTTTATTTTACCCAGTGTGAAAGACTCACACATTATCATTTTATTTTACCCAGTGTGAAAGACTCACACATTATCATTTTATTGTACTGCAGTACTTTTCATGAAGAAATGACCCATTTGTTTTGTTGTGTTTGCAGAATATTTCTCATGTGTACCATTATTTTATTTAATCAAACACTGACCCCTATGATTTATTGTTCATTATTTTGACTCCCTTAAAGCTTTTGAATGGCAGTCCATTATGTGGAGTTGGTTCAGTTCCAACCAGAGGCATACACAGAGTCAACATTTATCTGTTTTCATGTTAATATTAACAATAGTATGTTGAAAATAGCACTAATATTGTGAAATGTGACTAATATTAGTGGGCCAAGTGGGCCCTATATCATACCTTCAGACTGAACCTTTGTTAATATCATAATTGGGTTGTCAGTACCATTACATAATAAATTTTAAAATGTGAATTTAATGTAAATGAAAATATTTGATTTCATATTTGTGTCCTCAATTGTTTCATGAAATGTTTTTTCATTTTTCCCAGGATGTGTCAGGACAAATGACGAGGTGGAGAAAAAGTGGCATAATACCCAGTCGAAGTCCAAGTCTGAAATTGCAGCATATAAGAAAGGGGCTGTATCTACAGGTAAGAGCTCAAATATAGATTTATGGTCCATACTTATTGATTTTGGACAGTCTGTGTGTGATGAAAAGTGATTACTTTGAAGGAGTATAAATTGAGTAATAAATGGTCATGGTGTAACCGGGTTGTGATGGGTAAGAATGACGTTCAAACACAGGCTATGGGTGTGAGGTTTTATTTGCAGTTAGAGAGGTAACGACACCCTGCAATACACAAAACAATAACATAAGGCAATATCATAAAACATGATGCATCTTTCACATACGAGTACCTTACAATTACACATTCACATTCGCATATAATATATTTGTTAATGAGGCATAAAATCATTGTCTTGATTACATAAAGAATTCATCAAGGGCGATAACTATATTTATGGGTACTATACATGAGGTATACAAATGTACAATGAACATGGATCATTGTTATAAAGTACATTACATGTTCTCAATACAATAATTAATTATCACTTTGTGGCACCAATGATACAGATGGCAATCAGTGATACATATGTATCATAATATGTTATTTACAATATATACTATTCACAACAAACTATTCAGAACTGGTGTCTGCCACAATGGTAATAATAATAATGAGAGAATGATGTATGAGTATAGATTATATAGGCAATGTCAGATCATATTATTACTTACTAGTATGTGACATTATTTAGAGCTTACCAAAAGAAGTGCAAGTGATAAATGACATTGGTCAGTGTGCAAATTAGGCTGTTTACAGGGTCTTGAATTGAACAAAATATATTCACCCCAAAAATCCCCTGACAAAATAAGTTGAATAGACCGTCATGAAAAATATGAATTTCGCTTACGTCTGATTATGTTTCAAGCCATGGGTAATTATGAAATTATCTATACATTGCAGGTGGTGGGCGTCACCTTGTCCACTTTTAACTGAAACAGCAGAAGTCGTGTGGGACATACTTGGGAAGGACAATGTGTCCATATCAGGAATACCAGATTCAATGGACTCAACTCTACTGCAGATAAATGAGTCTACTCAGTCAAGGTTTGTCAAAACATTCAGCTTTACTGTATGTCATTAGATAATTCCTTCAATAAAATTGGTTGCATTACATTCCAAATATTGATAACAAATTTTATTTCCAAAATAAACTATTGATGAAATCCAAAATGTAAAAATCACATATCAAGAAGATTATAAAGCTCTCTTTCCAACATTTATCCCTTTACTGCCTTTAATGTTTGATATTTATAATTGAATACATGATAACAAGTAAAACTGATTATAGTTTATTTACATTTCAGTGATGCCATGTCATTTTTAGACATCCAGGCTCTGACAGCAGTGGGAGGGTGCCTGGAAATGGTCACCAGTGTGGCAGATGTGGCAGATGTGGCGGTTACTCCAAGCAATCCGAGTGATGCAGCAGTTCCCACTGTCAAGGCCGTACACACAGTCCCTGCAGCAGCAAGTGGTGGAAGATGTGCTCCACCAGCAAGGAGATCCAATCTTGAACCATGCCTTGAATGTGATGAACTGTATCATAAGAAGATGAAATTAGAAATTGAGGTTCTTAAACTAAAAAAGAAAATGATGGAACACAAACTAAAGAAATTTATGGAAGAGTAGAAGACTACTCATGCTTCTCAAAATGTACATATTTCTTAATAGCTGGCCAAAATACTTGTAACAATATGGTTCTTGCAAATATTTTCTTAAAGTCAACAAATCTACTTCATTAAACATGGTTCAAGCCTAATGTAGGTATCCACATGATGCTTAAGGCACTCGATGAGTGTGGGAGAAGTACATGCGCTAGTAAGGTTAAACATATACGGTACTGTTTCAATTTGGTTTGGGATTGGGTTATGCTTGGCTTAGTCACAATGTTGCAGATTCAAAGGCTTTCATATCTATGTTCAAACAGAGGTTATGTGATAATTTACAGGAGTCATGGTACTCCTCTGTGGAATCTTCACCTAAATGTTATCTCTACAAAGCCCACAAATATTTTTTGAATGTTGAAAAGTACTTATGTTGTGATTTACCTTTACATGTAAGGAATGCTATTCCAGATTTAGATGCTCAAATTTTAAAATTGCCATAGAAACAGGAAGATACGCTAATGCTGATAGACATCTAAGGCTGTGTAGCCACTGTAAAAAGAATAATGTCAATATTATTGAGGACATATATCATATTTTGCTGGAATGTGCACTATATGTTGATATTAGAAACAAATACCTTATTGACATATATAATGATATGTCTGTTGTTAATATTTTAAAAGATTCAAACACAATTACTGTATATAATGTTGGAAATTCCCTCTATCATGCAGAGCAGAGGATCAACTTAAAATATGCTCAGTAACTGAAATCTAATGATGTTTGTATTTTGGGCCTGACTCCCCTTTACCCTTTCTTGGTGAATGTGGCAGATTCCCTCTTCAACTTACTTATATGTCAAGGTCAGGTTAATATTTGTGTAGACTTTTAACTCTTCCAAGTTGTAGATTACCTCATCAATTTTATTTAATGTTAAAGTCTTTGGATGAATGTGGACATATAGCAACCACAGAATGAAAACATCTATTACATTCTTTGTGAGTTTTAAATGATGTTTATATTAAAGTTAAATTAATTTGGTACTAAATCTTTTACTGTCATGTTGATGAAAATATCCAATAATTTGCCTTACCCTAGAAGTGAGTGTTGGCAAAGTGATCCCTGTAAATCAGGTTATGTCCAGACAACTGTGGCACAATCTGTGGTTGGTCGCCGTCATCTGGGTCAATCGATTCACCATCAGGCAAGGGATGTTTCTTAACTTGCATATGTTGTGCAAAACTGCACAACATGTGATCACCTGTTGTGAAAAATAATTATATGTAAATAAAAGTTCTTTTCATTTCAAATTGTTATCTTGTTATTATTTTGTGAATAGTGTTGTGTGGGGCCACATACCGGTAAGATATCTTGTTTCTCATTTCTGTATATTACTTCTAATATATTTGTACATGTTTCGCTGGAAGACCATCATTCTGAACATGCTTTATCTGTTGTCATTTCTACGAGTTAATTTCTGCTGATGATGAACAATATATTAAAACAACACCGACATCCAAATGGACCATATTTTTAGGAAACAGTTCTTAGATATAACAAGAATCTTTATTTGGCGTCAGATGTTTTTGTTTGAATAATTTCAATCCATTTTAATGGATGATTTTAAGAAGATATAAATGGAGTGTTTAAAAACATATATATTAACACTTAACATACATACACATGCATGGAAGCACACACACATACAAGACATGCTTCAAATACATTTTAAGAATCATAAACATACATCAAATATAAATGTTATATAAGATTATTTTCTACTTGTGAACATGTTTATGAATTTACTTTTTTAGCATATTATTCTCATCTTATATTGCATTAAACCTGTTAGTATTGCATATATAATTAACAGTTAAGTAATAAAGCACAGTTTAATTACAAATAACATTGGTTTTACACAGATGAATAACTCTTCCACATTTATTATTTTATACTGGCATTTACCTTGCATGTTTTTTCTGGGGTTAATCTAACTTCTCCATGCAACACATGAAAACGCCGCTTGAGTTGCCCTATTCCCCTCTCCACTATGCTGCGAGTCCTCTTATGAGCTCTGTCAAAAATCAAACGTTAAGAAGATTATTTTAAAATCTGCAATAACATATTTTGCCATTTTGACTGGCATGTAAATAAATAACATGATATAGATGTAGATAAATAATCTATTCAGCCCTAAAGCATGCTTTTATGTGTACTGTCATTTCGTTACGTATTTGTCAGAAAGTTCTTGATGTATTCTAGGATTGTAGATTGTTCCAGGAAAGAAAAACATCAATTTTTTTAATTCAACCCAGTTACACTTTTATAGTCATATTTGACAGGGGGCATAACTCTAATTGACTAACCAAAAGTCATGTCGTTTGCAAGATTCGATTTACCTGTTGTATGATGTCTGAGAGCCGGGATTTGGCTGAAGATAAGGAGTGAGGAGCCAGTCTCTACATGGATATCCACTGTCTCCAAGCAAGTGGCAGCGGGCAGGCATCAGGTGGCGAGAGAACAAAACACAAACGCCGCTCTCGGTCAGTATGCGCGAGTCATGAGTGGACCCCCGGCCATTTCGCAACAATATCAATGATATGTGAACTGTGGTCAAAGACAACTTGAGTATTGATGCTGTGGTACTGCTTTCTGTTCACATAAGCAGGTTCGTGCTGGGATGGTGCCATAATCTGAATGTGGGTGCCATCTATAACCCCAACCACTCCGGGAAAATTAGCGATGCCATAGAAACCAAGTTGGTTTCGTCGGATTTCAGTCGGACTGGTGGGAAACGAAACGAACTGTCGAACAATGGCAGGGGCAGACAGTGCAGTTATTGTTTGGTTAATGGCCCTACTCACTGAAGACTGTGAAACACCAATGTGGTCTGCATTACACAGCTGCATTTTGCCCGTGGCAAAGTAACGCAGCGTCAGTAGAACTTTGTCAGTAGCTGATAAAGGATGACTTCTTTGAGTGAGAGGTGAAATTTCATTGGAAATGAGACTTACTACAAATTGTATACCATCTTTTGATAATCTAAATCTTCGTGTCAACTCTGTTTCTGTGTATTTTTCTAAAATGTTGGTTCTATCGATGATTGCATGGGCGGCCATCTTTGTTTACTTTAAGAAAATTCTTAGTGCTTAAGTAACCTATGGATGATTCTTAAGTTAAGAAAAAATCTTAAGCACTAAGAAGTTTGATGAATATTGCTTAAGCAAAAATCTTAGTTTTATATAGGTTGCTATGGAAACTAAGAATTCTTTCCAGACTTAAGAATTCTTAAGGCTTAAGAAAATTCTAAGAAGTTTAGTGAATCCGGCCCCAGGCGTAACTGAGATGACCTTCGTTTTTCCACAGTTGTAGCAGGTGTTGTTATCGTGCGTGTTGTTGTCCTTGGTCTTCTTGGGACATACGTAATAGCGATGACCTTGAGCACCACACTCGGCACAGGTAACCTTGGGACAGTGTAGATAACTGTGGTCATCTGTTTCGCACAGGCGGCAACGGAAGGAGGCGGAGGCGGAGGCAGGAGACGACTGCATGCTTCCAGTTTCAGTGAGCAACTGATGAGGAGAGCTGGAAAACCTCGAATTTATATAGTTGTGGGTTGATGACGTCACTTTGACGCATCCGGTTCGCACCGGTTGCATCCGGTTCGCACCACTCTCCTCCTGACTCAACAGGCTAGTGTGACGTCATGGAGTATGACATCATTCCTATAAATAACACATGAGCTCATGGTGCGCACTGGCACGACCTATTGTGACGTCATAGGGTGACGTGATGTATATAAACCAGGCTCAGCGTGGCTCTGACCAGTTCTCACCATGTCGTCACCACGAATGAACGAAGATGAACTTGAAGAGGAGCCTGTGCCCTACGAGTTGGAGCGGACGACCCAAAGAACAACCAAGAAATTCAGGACTGGTACCCAGCGCTACCACCTGAAGTTCAACCCTGTTTGGCTGCAGCGTCAACAGCCTGAAGACCTTCCCGTCGTTTTCAGAGAACAGTTTGATGCCGTGTTAGCAGATTTGAGAGACGATGTGGGTGGCCAGGATGGTGATCGCGTGGGATTGGCCCTGGAACACCCCGCCCTGGATTCAGACATCCGAATGCCATTTCAGCGCATGGAGGACCTCCAGGGGGAACACATCATGGCCCAAGTGGAAAAAGTACAACAAAGCAACCACGACTTACATATCGATGACACCATGGACATTTTCTTACTGCATGTAGAGGATCCTGATCGTATCGGTGAGGGACACGGCCGACCAAGGCACCTCGTTGGCTTAAACGCCTTCCTGGAAAAGAAACAATGCATCGTTCAAATCAAGAATGAGGATCAGCTCTGCTTTGCCCGTGCCCTGGTTGTGGCCAGTCACCACGCACACAAACCCGATCCTGTGACCAAAGAATGGACGAAGCAATGGAAATACCTGTGTGACAAACGTATTCCAGTTCAACTGAAGGCTGCCAAGGGCTTGTTTCGTCAACTCAAGATCCCCGAAGGTCCTTGTACAGGGCGTGCCACGTGGGAGTTGTTCAGTCAACGTTTGGCCCCTTACTATCAGCTCAAAGTCTACTCCCAAGATGTGTTGAATCGACTCCTGTACAAGAGTGAAGTGCCTCAACCCACCAAGATCCTTCACTTGTATCATCACCATCACCATTACGATGTCATTACCTCCATGCCTGCTTTTACAGGTCGTGTCTACTACTGTGAAACGTGTGACCAAGGCTACAACACTTCTGAAGATCATCGTTGCACCCGAGAATTTCGATGTTACTGGTGCCAATGTCTTGGATACTGTGGCGACGTGGTCAGTGAAGGGCTCTCCTGTCTCCAATGTGGCGGATGGTTCCGAAACCCTACCTGCTTTGAACGCCATCGGACGGCCTTCGCCAACCATCCCAGCACCTGCTCCACCATCCACACGTGTCATCGTTGCTATGCCAAAGTCAACGTGAGAAAAATCCAGGGCATGGCCAACCACCAGTGTGGCACGAATCGGGACTGCAAGATCTGCAAAGAACCCTTGAAACCCAACCACCAGTGTTACATGTCCGTCATCGAACCACCGAAACAAAATGAAGACGGTGAAAAAATGGATGAAGACAAAGAACGGCAACAGCGTCAGTTCATCTTCTATGACTTTGAATGTACTCAAGATCAAGGGACTCATGTTCCCAACTTGTGTGTGGTGCATCTGGGATGTGGAAAATGTATTTCCGAGGCTTCGGATCAGTTGTGTGACAAGTGCCCCTGGCGTAAGGAAGGAGAAGGGCCTAGCCGCATCAAAGTGTTTCGGGGATCTACGACCTTGAAGGACATGGGCGACTGGCTGATGCGTCTGGCGGAAAAGAAAGAGAAGCAGAAGAAGAAACGTAAGGCATCCCAACAGCAGCCGTCAGGCCGTGCCTCGAAACAACCCAAACTGGTATCACCAGAACCCAATGATGATGATGATGATGTAGAACAAGACAACAACGACAAAGAACAAGACGACGAAGACGACATTTCCCCTACCATTGATGATGACGACGTGTTGGTCATTGCTCACAACTACCGAGGGTATGATGGACACTTGCTCCAACAGTACTTCCATCAACATCTCGTGAAAGCACCCCAGGTCACACTTCGAGGGAATCACATCTTGCAAATGACCGTGGGACGCCTCGTTTTCAAGGATTCACTCAACTTCCTCACGATGGCTCTGAAGCAGTTTCCGAAAACGTTTGCATTGACGGAACTCAAGAAAGGCTACTTCCCTCACTTCTTCAACACCGAAGCTCACCAAGGCTATGTGGGCCCTTATCCTCCCGTGTCTACCTACGATCCTGACAGTATGTTTTCTGCCGAACGCAAAGCTTTCTTGGCCTGGTACGATGCACGGGTGGCTGAAGGGACTGTGTTTGATCTGGATGAGGAATTGTTGACCTACTGTCAGAGTGATGTGGACATTTTGCGTCGAGGTTGTGCTGCATTTCGCAACATATTCATCCAACAGAACAACGTGGACCCTTTCTATGAAGCGGTGACTCTACCCATGGCTTGTATGCTCACCTTCCGAAAACAGTTTTTTGGAACCCCGCACCATCGCCATCCTACCTACTCAAGGTTATCGTCCCCAGCGTCGCTACTCTCTTCAGTGTCTCCACTGGCTCAACTGGGTCATGCATC